TGCCCAAGATAATAAAGTCTTCTTTGAGTTTCACCCCTCATTTTGTCTTGTCAAGGATCAAGCTACAAGGGAAGTACTACTCAAGAGAGCAGTTAAGGATGGTCTCTACAGCTTCTTCCTTCAAACAAAAACCACTGAACCCAAGGAAAACCTCCATCAACCTCTGAACCAGAAACTCAGCTTACTTTCAGCAGAAGTTAGAAATAAGGCTAGCATAGGTGTTTGGCATTCTAGATTTGGTCATGCCAATTTGGATATTGTTAGAAAAAGGCTTTGAATGATTGTAATGTTCCTTTTCTTGACAATGAAAATGCTTCTTTATGTTCTACTTGCATGAAGTCCAAAATGCACAAACTCCCTTTCTCTAACTCAGAAAACAAAAACTATGAACCCATAGAATTTATTCACTCAGACCTTTGGGGACCTGCACCAATAAAATCTTTTCAAGGCTCCACTTATTATGTGTCTTTCATTGACTATGCTAGCAGGAACACTTGGGTCTACCTCTTGAAACAAAAGTCAGATACTCAAGCAGCCTTCATTCACTTTAAAAACTTTGTTGAAACTCAATATCCTAAAAAAATCAAAGTATTTCAAAGTGATGGGGGTGGAGAATTCACTGCCTTGACTAAATACTTCTCTGAAAATGGAATTAAACATCAAGTTTCTTGTCCATACACACCTGAGCAAAATGGAATGGCTGAGAGGAAACATAGGCACCTGATTCAAGTTGCATTAGCCCTCCTTGCTCAATCTAATCTTCCTACCTATCACTGGGATGATGCTGTTTGTAGTGCAGCCTATCTTATAAATAGAACCCCTAGCAAAGTCCTCAACCTCAAGTCTCCTTTTGAAGTTCTCAATAACAAGAAACCAGACTACTCCTTTCTAAAACCTTTTGGATGCCTGTGTTATCCCATGATGAAACCTTACAACAAACACAAGTTAGACTTCAAAAGTCTTCCCAGTATCTTTCTTGGTTACAGTAGCAAGCACAAAGGATACAGAATACTCTTGCCAAATAAGAAAGTCATCCTGACTAGACATGTGGTCTTTGATGAAACTCAGTTCCCTTTCATTGAGTCTACAGAAACTGGTAAAACACCTCAGTATGAGACCTCTACTGCTCCCTTATCAGTGATCAAGAATTTTGAAAACCCAAGACCCACAAATGTTCAAACTTCTCCTATTCATCCCATTAATGACTCTTCTACTTCTTACTCTCCTAGCACTCATCCCATCAATTCATCTCCATCACACCAAAACATTCCAGATCTTGGAGGACATATTTACATTGACTTACCTATAGAGAGTGATGTTCAGTCTGTTTCTGTTGCTAACTCTCTTGTTGAGCATGATGTTAGAAAAACAGGTGGTCACTCAATGGTCACAAGAGCCAAGGCTGGGATTCACAAGCCAAAAGTCTATACCATCAGCAAGACAGATGAAAGAGAACCTGTCAATGACCTTGAAGACATGTCAATTCCTAAGTGGAAAGAAGCTATGATCAAGGAATTTCAAGCTCTTCAAAAAAATAAAACCTGGACTCTTGCAGTGTTGCCTCCAGACAAGACCCTTATTGGGAGCAAATGGGTTTACAAGGTCAAACACAATGCAGATGGTACCATAGCTAAGCACAAAGCAAGGTTAGTGGCAAAAGGTTTTACTCAGTTTCCAGGCTTTGATTATAGAGAAACTTTTAGTCCTGTTGCAAGAATGGCCACTATCAGGACTGTTCTCTCAGTTGCTTTAGCTCTTAATTGGAACATCAAACAAATTGACATAGACAGTGCATTTCTCAATGGAAACTTAGACACAGAACTTTACATGGAACAACCCTTTGGGTTTGTGCTTCCTGGAAATGAGAAATTGGTCTGCAAGCTTCAGAAGTCCATATATGGTTTGAAGCAAGCATCAAGGGCCTGGTTCAATAAGCTTGGCACTTCTTTACATTCTCTTCAATTCCAGACATCTCAAGCTGATAATTCTCTCTATTTCAGACATGAGAATGGCCACACAACTCTTGTCTTGGTGTATGTAGATGACATGATAATAACTGGGAGTGATCCTAATGAATTGAACAGTCTAATTGACCATCTAAAGCTTGAGTTCTCCTTGAAGGATCTAGGTGGCTTTAATTATTTCCTAGGAATTGAGTTCTCTAAGACAGGTGATGGAATGTTCCTTAACCAAAAGAAGTATATCTCTGATCTCTTGTCTAGAGTAGAGATACTTGATGCTAAAGGAATATCATCTCCAATGGTGAGCACTCCTGTCTTGTCTAAATTTGATGGTCAGCCAATGGAAAATCCTACTCTTTTTAGATCAGTTGTGGGTGCACTGCAGTATGCTACCCTCACAAGGCCAGAATTATCATATAGTGTCAACAAAGTCTCTCAATACATGCAAACACCTCTCAACACACATTGGAGAGCTGTCAAAAGAATCCTCAGGTATTTGACAGGAACTATGGAGTATGGTATGCATTTTTATACACCAAAGAATCTTCAAATCAATGGCTATGCAGATGCTGATTGGGGTTCAGACTTAGATGACAGAAGATCTACTAGTGGGTATTGTATTTTTCTGGGACCTAATCTGATTTCTTGGAGCTCAAAGAAGCAACATGTTGTTTCTAGGTCAAGCACAGAAGCTGAATACAGATCCTTAGCTCATGCTTCTTGTGATGTGGTTTGGCTTCAATCTCTTTTGCAAGAACTTAGAATTGGAACACCAAAAACAGCCAACATATGGATGGATAATCAAGGAGCTGTCAGTTTGGCTGGGAATCCTGTCTTTCATTCTAGAACTAAACACTTTGAAATTGATCTGCATTTCATAAGAGAGAAGGTGGCTTCAAAGCAGATTTCAGTTAGGCATATCCCTTCCTTAGATCAAACAGCAGATTTATTTACCAAACCAATCTCAGGACAACTCTTCACAAGATTTAGAAACAAACTGTTTGTTCTTCCCAAGAGCTTGTTCGAGTTGAGAGGGGGTGTTAGAAGTGATCCTGCTTCAGCATGGTCAAGAGCTAGCCATAATGTAACCAAGGGCTGCAAGCCAAGGCAGCATGCACACACCAGCGGGGCCATGCAACGTGCAGAAGAGACAAGAGACAGCTCACATTTATGCTAGTACATTAGTTTGTTATTAATTCTTATCTTTAGTGCTATGTGTCATCCATCTAGCTAGTCTTCATTTTGAAATGTGTGGCTGAGATGTAGTAAGGCTTGTACAAAAGGAGAAAAACCGTGCTGCATGCTTTAGTGAGAAATTAATGCTGTAACCCTACTCTTGTGTTTGTTCTTGATTTTTCCCTCAGCATCTCTTCTTTAACCAAGAAAGATGAACATTGATTTTTCCCATTAGGCTCTGCGTTTTAATGTAGTTAGCTGAAGTATTTCACTTACAATAATATCCATTTAATGTAGGCATGGCAAAGGGCCGCCCCGCCCTCCGACCAGCCACGGACCCGGTCCGGTCAAACCTATTGAGCACGGGTCTGGAACTGGACCGAATTTCAGATGGACCGTTTCAGGATCATCAATTTCATGACCCGGCTCGACGGGCCCAGTCCAGAATGGATCGATGACCCGCTTTTTCTAATTTTTTTTTATTGTTTTTTTTAAAAACATGACGGACCCAGTCCGACAAGGACTCGGCCCGGTCAACTAGGCCATTGACCTAGCACGAGTATAAGTCCGTGCCGGGTCCGGGTCAGTGTTTTAGAGCCCAGCAGGCCGGCTGGTCGGGCCAGGCCGTAATCAGACCCGAGTTTTGGCCATGTCTACATTAATGATGTTACATTTCTTTTGGCAAAAAATAAATAAATAAGATGATGTACCAATTCAATAAGAAATGTAAAAGTGGTGCGGTTTATGGTTCACACCTAATTATGTTTTTTTTTTTTTCAATTTTAAGCTACATAAATTCGGTTTTTCCTACACTTTAAGTTATTTTTTATTTTAATTAATTTATTATTCACTCTAGAATAATTTTGACAATTAATTTTTTTCATAACGGAATGACAATTGCTCTAAAATCAATTTTAATTATAGTTTGAAATTTCTTGGGGGTCATGACGACCTATTTCTTGGACATATACAAATATATTTATTTTAAATTTTTAAGTTTATAGCTATTTAGTTTATATATAGCTATTTAGTTGTGTAATAACTAAATTGGTGACATGTGACCGCGAGCGCTCTAAATCAAAGCTCGACTCAAGTTCGAGTTTGACCGTACTCGAATCGAGTTCGAGTCTATATTTTGCATTGTCAAACAGTTCGAAATATATGTGAAGTTACTAAAATATCATTATATATATATTAGCATAGGTGTTTGATGGTAATTTTATTTTTTCACTTAAAAATTTTTGAGCTGAACTCGAGCCGAGCTCGAGCATTTTGATTTCGAGTCGAGCTCGAGCCTAAAAAATGGAGTTCGACGAGCTCGAGCAGCTAAAAAGAAGATCAATCCTGCTCGATGAGGTCAATGATCGACTCGACTCAGCTCATTCACAATCACAGTAATCAAACATCAACATTTCACAATCAATAAGTAATCAAACATTAACAAAAAAAATGCAATTACAGCTGAAAAAAAGAAAGTCCCACTGGGAAACAAATTACAAAGTAACAACAACAGATGACATCTTGACAAAGAAAAAAGGCACAACATACATTTCTTCTTCCAAACTCACCTATCAAACAGTGAGCTATGAGGTAACTCACTTTACAACAGAAGGGTAATTAAAAAGCTTAACATGGCCAAAAACAAGTAAATTTGAGACCATGCAAAAACAATTAGGTGGAAAACCATAAAAGAAAAAAAAACCTTCTCCAAAAAATGATCCTCATAGCAAAACACAACATAGGTTATTGTCTGAAAAAAATCAAACTACAACACAAGACCAAGATCAAGACTGCAGAGAGATTAACCGAAACTTATTTATTCGTTCCCTTCAAATTCGATTCAAGAAGAACTTCGACGACATTTCACATGAACATCGTGAGCGCGGCCCGTAAATTCTTCACGAACTCCTTCGTGCTCATACCAAACTCTTCATCCTTCTGCATGAAAAAAAAAAAAACATTAAAATAGGAAAAACTTTATTTATTTATTTATTTATTTATTTATTTATTCAGACAAAAAAACCTGTGCAACAACTGTAATATTGAGAGCTGAATCTCCAAAGCTGATGATGCTGCTATTGACAACTGTCAAATGGAGCTTCTCAATCTCAGCCACTGTTTTCTCA